TGCTATTGCTTTCAAGGTATAAGTACCATTGGCAGCCACGCTTACAGAGTCAACGATCTGATTTGTTGCTTTGTTTATCAGGTAAACATACATCGGGACAGGCAGGCTGGTGAAGTTCTCCCCGCTGTTGATTATTGTATTACGGTTGGCATCGTTGAAAACGGTACCGCAGACAGCCAGCTTAACGGTATCGCTTTTTGTGGTAATACAGGTGCTGCCACCTGTATAGCGTACAGATATGGTATAAGCCCCGCCGGCTAGGCCGCTGAAGGTTGGAGCAGATTGCCATGTAGTTCCGTTAATGCTATATTCATAAGCAGCGCCTACAGGTGAGTTGACCGCAATGCTTCCCGAGGTTCCGGCACACGAATAGTTCGTTACAGTGGTTACAAGTGCGGCCGGTGCAAGACTACCGACAACAAAGCTGACGGTATCCCTGCTGGCACATCCACCATACTGACTCGTAATAGACCAGCTGTAAGTATAAGTACCAATTACACCTACATTCGATACTGTAGTATTGGCTGTACTTGTGCTGCCAATTACCGGGTTGCTGCCGGCAGGTGAAGAAACTTTTGTCCAGAGGCCGGTACCGGCACCTTGATTGTTGCCCAATAGCGTAAGTGAATTCGCGCAATTCAGCGTCTGATCAGAACCGGCATTGGCATTGATCGGGTTTTCTATATGCACGACAAACGTATCCACCAGGGAGGTACCCGCACAGCCATATTCCCGTCCTAAGAAATCACCCGCAGCTGTAGTCGGTTGTGCGATCACCCGGAATACATAATCGCCGGCCATAGTCAGGTTAGAAATAGTAGTCGTTGAGCTGGTTATGCTACGCAGGTTGGTATTCGTATAGGCTGGAGTACCTGAACCTGCGGGCTTGGAGACAACAGAAAAGTAATAAGCGGCGCTAAAGTCCTGGAAATAACTGGTATTCACTACACCTTTGTAGATGGCCGGTAAAGGTATGGTGGCCGATAGGACACCGGTACCGGGATAGCAAACACTCACATCGGGTATGCTTACATTAGGACGCGCCTGATCGGAAACATGGATATAGTAAACCTGACTGGTACCGCAACTGCCATCGGCATTGGAAATACCTACGGTAAACCTATAGGTACCTACGCGCCAGCCGCCATTGGGTGGCGTTACGGTCGCGACCCGGTTATAAGTACCGGCACCACTTACCACAACGGTAGGGGCACCTCCCGGGGGTATAATACCACTTGGAACAACTGTAGTAAGTACAGTAGGGGGATCCAGCGGATCGATACTGAAATAAAAGCTTTCCGGGGTGGTTGTACCCGCCAGGTTACAATGCAGTTCTCCGCCGCTCCCTGTAAACGAGTAGGTAGTCATTTGCTCCGGCGCCGTATGGCCTGTGGGCTGAAAATTAACCGCATGCGGAGTCGTTCCATTTAAAGTAAAGGTAACCGGAGGAGTGGTAAAGGTATCACAGCTATTGGCAACAGTTAAGGTATAGGCATAAATACCCGGAACATTAATCCCGTTAAAGTAAAC